TTCGAAGACATGCACAAAGAGATCTCAACAGAGGAAATTAAACAAGTTCTTCTAAATCTTTCAAAATAGAAAGCTCCAGGCTTAACATATATTCCATATGAGGCTTGGATGAATCTTGGCCCAACTGCTAGACAATGCCTCAAAAAACTCTTCAACAAAGTAATAACCAAAAAAGAAATTCTCAAATTCTGGAAACAATCAGCAGTTACCTTCTTATCGAAAAAAATCATTTGATCACATGAATTAACGGATACACGTCCCATATCTCTCATTGAAACTACTAGAAAAATATTTACCAAGATACTGAATGATAGACTCTCAACGATCATCTCAAGTCATAACATCCTGTCAGGATATAACTTTGCTGGCCTCAAAAACCAAAGTACAAAGAAACCAATCTCAATTGCCTCTCAGAAATTGAAAAAGTGAACAACCTCAACAAAGAGCTATGGATAGCATTATTCGACATCTCAAAAGCATTTGACTCAGTAAACCTCTCTAGCCTGGAGCTGGCTATGAACCGAATTAAAATTCCAAACCAAACCAGCTAACTAATTCTTGATTTGCTCAGAAGAAGAGAGCTCAAAATAATTACATATTACAAACTTATAGAACCCCTCGAAATCAACAAGGGAATTAACCAAGGCGAAACCTTAGCTCCACTACTATGGACAATTTTCTATGATCCAATGGTTAGCACAGTAATTCAAAACACCTCTGACAAATTGACAATATTAGCCTATATGGATGACGTTGCTATTATCAGCAATAACATAAGAGCCCTACAAAATGCGACAGACACCTTCTGCTCATTCTTATTACTGAACTCAATCAAATACAACAAAAGTAAAACAGAACTTATTACAAATCTCAAGCTAAGAAATGACCTAAAAAAACAATCTCTTCTCGTTGAAGATGTATCAGTGCACCCTCTGCCTCACACCGGCTCGATCAGATACCTTGGCATTTATCTCTCCGGAAAGTTCTCCTCCCTTGCAACAAAAAACTTTCTTAAGGAAAAAGTCTCAAACTTTACCAAAGCAATCGCAAATCAAAAAGAATAGAATGGTTTAATCACAAGACAAGCCTCTCATTGGATAATACTAGCGCAAAAAGATTACGTGATTCAAGCAACCATATCCAATGACACTGACATTAGAAAAATGCAAGCAAAGTTTAATACAGCCATCAAAAGCAAATTGGAAGTGGAAAAAACCATTTCGAACAAAATTTTACATGCACAAGTAGGCCTAAATATAATAAAGTTACAAGATAGAGTCCATATAACAGCAGTCAAACTCCTAGTCTTGAGACTTGTCAACAAAAAAAACTCGCACTCCTCTCATTGAGAAAATCAAGTCCCTTCAGGCAGCACATGCCATATGGACGTGCCCAATCTGCAATCCATATTATTTCAGAGAATGCTGGCTAACACTGACCACACAAATAGTCAAAAAATATCAAATCAATATCTGCTTCTATCCTTGCCCATTCGAAACCTCAGACTACAATCTTCCTATCGGGCTCATAACTAGTATTGACAAATACACTGCACTTTCACTCTTCTATACAAACATCAGAACCATTAAAGATATCTATACATATAACACTAACACCAGACTCACATGGGATAAGCTTCACACTCACAGAGGATACATATCTACAGGCCCCATTCCAAACTGGTTCAAGAACATACTGCTAACAAATCAAGCAATCGTTGGAAATTCACTTTCAATATTCAACCCAAAACCCCAATTTCGAGCTTATATCAACAATAGAACAGTCGATCTGATTAAAATCAGAAGAAACGCAACTCAACAGCAAACAGTTAAAAGACAGCACTACCAAATCCTATCTAACAAAAAAATCCAATGGTGTTCCTGCAGCATACAACCTTGCATTATAGAAAAAAACTTTGACATCACCAAGTCAATATGAACAACAATGTGTAATAATTATCCATTCCTATTGAATAATATCGAAGAACTATTTTTTCTCCTCTTCACTCCTTCATGTTTTTTACCACAAATCATAATAATCAAATCCTCCACAGCCTCACTACCACCCACAACAACTAATATCTTCTTCACTAATGAAAAAATTATTATTCAAAAACCCAACATCAACATACTTTACAAAATTAACGCAAACCTATGGGCAGGATTTTGGCTTATCCTATTAATAACTATACAAGAAATTTTTATCAACTCAACTATCAAGTGCCAACTCCAGACCCAACCAAACCTAAAAGTATCAGAATATACCAATCGTCAAGTCAAGACCCATACAGCAGATACATCAAACTAATAAATCTCCATCAAAACAACAAAAATATAACACTTGAGTGGATTACAAAGAATGAACACAAGATTCCTCCATCTCCGGATCCCCCTAACAGCCTCCCAATTCCACAAATATTTCCAGAAACATATGACACTTCACCTCTAATTAACCATACATATGTCACCAGTATCACACACCGGATAAAATTCGTTAACTACTATACCAATTTTTTCAATATTTTTCTAAGTCAGATAGCAATCTACAAGACCATCTCAAGACCTACACTAGAACTTATCCATAGTGCCAACAAGTGACTTAGAGAAAGCGACCAACTGAAATTCAGAAGTCTGTCAGTATTTAGAACCAAGCTTTTTGCAAACCAGCTACCCACAAGAATCAAACTCTATAAAAAATACCCAAGTCTATATGGAAATAATCTCTGTCCATGATGTGAAGCATACCTAGAGGACCAAGAACACATCTTTTTATGCATTCATGCCCAACGGACAATTGAAAAAAAAAAAAGAAAAACTCATAGATCACTTAAATAAAAGTACACATCAAGCAAATACTAAAAACAGACCCTTATCAACGTTTGTATCACTATCAACACTAGATATAATTAATTTTGCACTCAGAAACCTCCAACCACCCTTAGATAAAATTCAAAGCAATAAAGGTGACATGTCAAATAAGGCACTTAAAATTCTCTACAAAGTCTGGAAAGAATGATCAGCGACAGCCACTACATCACTAACTTCAGAAGTCAAATGGAAAAAAACCACAGCCATGGACTCCAATCATAGCACTAAGAACAATTACACGACCTTTTACAAAATTCCCAACACATTAGTAACTAACAATAATTTAACAGATAAAAATATTTTTACTTCCACAATCGTATTGTCATTTTGAATAGACATTAGCCATTCAACACTGGTAGCATCTGTTTACCTACTTGGTGTAAGCTGGTGTTAACAGAAAAGTTACAATAGACTAGGATTAACTTACTTTTGTAAAGATCTTTAATGTAATGGCTATAAACTCTCGTTTAATAAAAATCTTGCATTTAATGTCTATTTGCGATTTTTAAAAAAAAAAATTAAAAAAAATAAACTTATATTGTTAAGAAATAAATAAAAAACTTTTATTTTATTATATTTTATCAATTATTTAATATTAATAATAATAATAATTTTTTTTAAATATAAAATACAACTTTTTGAAAAACTTGGATATAATAATAGTTATATAATATATTTTATATATATTTAATTTTACTATTAACAAGTAAATAATATTATATTTAATGATAATAATCATGTTAATTTGTTGAAAAATGAAAAACCATAGAAATAAAGTTTTTTTCAAGGCTTACATCTTGAAAGAAGCTATTACTTTTTAATATAATTCTTAAGAAAAAATAAATTAACTAGTTAGAGAGATGATGAAATAAAAGGTGACTAATTTTAAAGGAAAAGAAAAATATAAAGAGAAAAACTTTAGGAAAAGAAATCTTGATAGAAAAAAAATATAAAAAAAATAAGAGAATAAGAAGAAAAACAAAATAAATACTTTAAAAATTTATTAAAAAGAAAATAAGGGAATAAGAAGGAAAACAAAATAAATACTTTAAAAATTTATTAAAAAGAAAATTTCAAGTGTAGAAAGGAAAGTGTTTTTTTTAAGATTTATATATTTTTAATTAAAAACATTAATATAATAAAAAAAAATTCTTATATATTATATTCCTAGCAAAATAAAATATCAATATCAAGATTGTATTCAAGTTGACAGCATAAACATTATTTGTAGAATTTATAAAAATCATATTTTAGTTTTGATAAATAGGAATAAGTAAACATTGTTTTTTATTATGGCCAAAAAAAAAAAAGTTTTTGAAAAAATTATTTATTGTCAAATTAAAGAACTTTTTAAGTAATCAAGTAAACCATGGAGAGATTTTTTTCTTTAGAGATTTTTTTATTTACAGTATATTGATTTTATGAGATAAAGTTGATATAGAAAAATGGTTTCTCTAATTTTTAAGAAATATTTTTTGATTATTAATTATTGAACATGATGTCTAGTATATGATTATATAAGAACGGATGTTTATTTATAAAAAAGAAATGATTTCTAACGCAAATATTATGGATTATTTTGTTGTTGTTGATAATGAATTGCTTTATTCTTACCTCATCATTTTATTTATTAATGAATCATAATTGGAAGATTCGAAAATGCTGTTACATTATTCAACAAGCAGCGATTTAAATATTTCAAGGTTTTTTAGTTTATTTTTTTTAAAAAAAATATGTACAATATATAGTACATACTGTATATAATATACGTATTTAACCAAAAAATTTGCCGAATATATTCTGTTGCCAATTCTTATCCGATTTTCGAATCATAATTTATTGCCAAAGGTCAAGAAAGCATGGTGGGTGACATGTGTGATACGCAATATTAAGAAAAAAATGTACAGCACATCTATTTTATTGCATAGGCTACCTTTGTACATAAAATAATCTTGTGCTTATCATATATACAGTCTATTATACTTAATATCTTAACTTATCATAACTAAGTACAGTATGTACAGTAATTCTTAATCATAATCATAATTAAGCGTAAAATAAACTTAAATCTTACAATCTTATAATAAGTTGGTTCTTTCTCCCCTTTCCCCTTTCTCTTTTCTTTGGTGTGATCTAATCGCCGCAGAACAGTTCGCGAACGATTTGTTCTTCGAATTCGTCGCTTACCAACCTTTCGTACGGTCTCGATGGGTTGCCGACCGCCGGTGTCCTCAACACTGGGTAGGGAGCAAACCTTATGGTAAAATTGGTTCTGTTGAACCTAATTAGGGCCTGAGACCAGACCTTTTTGAGATGATCAATTAATTCATGGTCCGCTGATTTGAGATCATCCCAGATGTTTTTGATCACGCGAGACAGGGAGGCGCGGTCGATCCTCAAACCCAGGGACCGCACCCCAGTTTGTATACCTTGTCGAAACAAGATAAAACAACTTGGAGGTCGATTTCCATTGCCACCCAGCTGTAATGCGGATTCCACCGATGGCAGTATGTATGCCACGTAACGGTAGTGTAGACCATCGGAATGGTGGTATATAAGGTAGTATACATCATCTTCGTCTTCGGAAAACGAAAAGGTGGTCACATTCCCAAGGCCGACACGAGAAATAACGTGGAAATTATCGGGGAGGGTTTCAGTTTCCACAGGAGGGAAAGGGATATAATCAGACATGTCAAAGATGTATTGAATGAAATTCAGAGTGAGTGAGAGTTTTTCGATCCATTATATATAATAAATTCTAATTACGAATCAAAGGACTTTTGGTAAAATTTGGATTAATCCTATGCATTGAAAAGAAAAGCCACCGTGTCCAAGTATTCCGAAAAAAAATAAACATCTTTGCACAAGGATCAAAGTGAGCATTGTGTTGCAATTTGAAGTATGAAAAAGGTTTCGGGCATTTAAAGATAATCGCACTCGGTGTTAAATGAAATATTCTGGAAAACTTTGTTAAAAAATAGCTCACGATGAAACGCAGGTGGTTTTTTCGGAATTCTTACTTATTTGCTATGTCATCATGCAGGGAGTCTTTTGAAATTTTGTTAGCATTTTATTATTATTATTTTTTTTTTTTTATTTATTTATTTTATTTTATTTTTTTTTTCGGTACGACTTATTTATTTTTAAAAAAAAAATAGTAACAGAAGACAGTAGACGTTTCCTCACCTGCTCACCGATCATTTTATCAAAGTGGAAAGAACTTAATGAAGGTTACATGAATGAATTAATATTTGTTTTATTATTCCGCTTTTTTGGACACGAGAATGTTAATGATACAAAGTGAGATTCGTTCTACATGAAAAGAAAAAAAAAAGAAATTATCAAGCACACATATAACTATTGATAGCATCGTGAGACATCGATAAGGGGGAAAATTGAAAAGGTTATAATCACACTCACCAAATTGGTGACCACATCTTTTCTTAAAATGAATCATGAAAAAGATTCCAATAACATTAACCGCTGTAATTGTTCGACCCGATTTAAGAAAACATCATTGAATCATTCCAAAATGAGAAATTTTAAAGGGACGAGTGACTTCTTTTAATAATTCACGGAGTTCTTATTTTCCTCTAAAGAACACAGAAATAATTACACAACGTATCGCAAAGCGCAGATATAAATTTCATACGCGAAGTTATGCAAACTCCCAAAATTGGTTTACAATATGCATATTGAATTCATGTAAATTTGTGAGTACACTCGAGTTTAGGAGTTTATTAGTGTTGCAACACACATGCGGATCTCGTGTATATTAACATTATTACTTATGCATTACGTGTTTGTTGGTGACATGTAAAAGTAACGGTCGTTTTTCGAAACATGTGATCTATCCATCAATAGATATAAATAAACTTAATAAAAATTTCTAATAATAATATTTCGTGATTGTGTGTGACCTCTCAATAACGAAATTCCACTTTTGAAGGATGAATGACAAATCCTTGGTTTTTCCGTCCCGTGCGGTCTTTTTATGGCTACTATTATTTTTGGACTCCTTTTCAATGACTCTTTTAAGAAATTTCACATACATATAATAAACAAAAAACAATGTTGCAAATATGCATGATGACCAAAAGTACAAATGAATTTTTATAAACAGTACATCGAGAATTTCATTATATACAGTACGTTAGATGAATTTTTTTCCTCCTCTCCCTCTTTCGAGGATGCCGATACCTTTTTCGTAAACTTAATAAATCAGTACCCTGTTGCCAAAAGGCTACCAGTTACTGTATCCATCGTATGTGTGTACGTATGTGTGTACGCTTGTACCCTGAGCTCTTTCGATTAGGCAAGGGCTCAACCATATTAAAAGTGAATCCGGTATTCATCTGGAATACGATGTATTATGGAAAAACAGCGCATTGTGTGACCGCATCAACAATGGTGAAAATAATTTATCCGAGCACGTATATATCGTATATATCGTATATACCGCTAAAATATGTGCATTTCCGTCTCAATTCACGCCGGATGATTGTGATACCTTTTTTAGAATTATGCTTAACGTCCATTATGTATGAGTGTATATATACATATTCTTTAATAAGTCATTTTAATGTAAATCCCCGGTGACGCTTTTGCGTCTCGAAAACCTCTAATCATCTTCATCTTCATCGATGGGACGTTTGTTCTTTTCCAACAGTCCAGTCGACTGAGCGTTCATAGAGATAAATATGGGCCTTATGCCACTGAATGGTTTATCACTTTTCTTTTGAACTGTTGACAGACGGACGGACGGTTGAAATTTTTTTTAGGCAAGTTTGGTTCAGCGAAATAAAAATGCGATGGGAAATACATACGTAGCTCTTTCAATCCGCTCCCAAACTTTCTCAATATCTTTATGCCGTAAATCAATACCAACTATTCGTCCGGTTAAAGAACAAAGAGAAATTAGGTAAAATGGTCTTTGATGCACTTTATTAACCCAAGTCTTTGTTTGCTTGCACTTACGATCGTCGTTGTCATCACAAGTAACACTACATGACGTAGGTGGGAACGGATTAGGAAGGTTAGAATGTGGTACGAGAAAAGAAAGAAAGAAAGAAAGAAAGAAAGAAAGAAAGAAAGCAAGAAAGAAAGAAAGAAAGAAAGAAAGAAAGAAAGAAAGAGAGAGAGAGAGAGAGAGAGAGAGAGAGAGAGAGAGAGAGAGAGAGAGAGAGAATACGTACACAAGAATATCAAAAAATACCACACAGTCTGCACCTCTATAAAGTACTTGACAGAACCAAAGATGATGATTCCAAGATCCCCGATTACCAACAACCACAGAACCAAGAATATCTTCATTCCCCGTCGCGATTCTCGGGCAACCTAGGTTTGATTCAATTTAGAGATTAGGTAAGAACATGTTTGTGTTATGGTTATGACGACGTCACTAAAAAGAATTCTCCTACTGATCGATACGCGACGATTTCTAGTAAGATGACAAAAAATGTCGTGGCTGCATGGAAATAAAGAAACCGAAAACCGCTTTCCCAATCAAGGAAATAGACAAATAAAAGTGGAATCGACAATAGGAAGAGAAAGCATAGATTGAGCTTCAGGAGCATTATGAAGATTAACTGATTTTTGTAAATTTCTGTTCGTGATGATAGTTGACTTGTTAGTTTTACGCTTTTCCATAGACACCTCGTAGATTCTCATGGTCACCTTGAATTTTTACATCCCCGCCGATTTTCTTGTATATGTTCCAACCGAAAGATTGATATCTAAATATGCATGAGGTGAGTGAGACAATCTTGTAAAATGTATCTACGCATTCGTCCACTTACAGTTTGTACGACAGGTATGCCATGATGAACGCAAAGAAGAATAACACCAACACACACGGTACATCGTTTTTCCAAGGTTGTGAATCAAAAGAAGATCTTCCCTTGCATGCTGCCAAGGCCGCTACGGCCCTCAGTGCAACGTGGATTTCTATGGCCTGAATCTGGGGCATCGGAATAAGGGGGAACTCTCGATTAATAAAAATTGTCAAGGTGATATGGACTTTGAACAAATTGTGAAACGCTCACAATGCCATAAGTCGCCCATCCAAAATTCACTGCGCTGATCGTCAAGACCTATTGTGTACCAGACAGAGGGTTTGTTGGAAACAATATCCTTCGATATTTGGAAATAGATACATGTGCACGTATATACCTGAATTGTATTCTCATGGAATATCTTAAAGTAATATGCTAATTATTGATGAGGGTCGGCTGCCGCTAATAACGCAATTTACTGTACTCACCGAATTAAAACAAAAATACACCAGGAAAATCTGAAAAAAAATATAGATCAGATTGTCATAGGCGATGAAAGGAAATTGCGGTCCATGGAGCCCTTCGCATTTGGTGTAATTGGTGGTTGCGCCATCCGTGGTTTCAAAGGTGAAATACATGAATTCTAGGTTGCGCATCATGACCTTTATCTGAAGAATTATGATGGCTATGGTTTGTAACACCGAGAACATGATGAAGAGTTTCGTTATGCGGGAGGCCGTGATTCTTTTCCACTGTTTCATTAAATGCATTGAAAAAACTGACTGGCAAAAGGCGTGAATCGAAAATGGGTATACGGGCAACTTACTTTCTTGCTACAGTTCTTCTTAAATTTCTCAAACATCTTGAATTGCCTATGTTGGTCATGAAGATAGATAAACATATGTACTGTATATTAAGACAAAGACACCATCAAATCCTTCAAGCGCACACATACATTCGAGAATGATTTCGTTGTTATTCTTATTATCTCTCCAAAAATGTATTTCAAGACCCTGAAAATTCGTTTTACCTAGTAGCGTTTTTTCTTAGGAAATCATTGGGTACGAATATCTATCGATCGCTCTTCCCCTTTTAATTTGCATCCCTCGGTCTAACTAGTAAAAACTCCGGTCACTATTTCTAACCTGCTGGTACAACCCAAATGTACGCATGACCTATCTTTTGGAATGCAAAGTCCGATACACAAGACAACGATAATCATGATAATCAACGTGCTGCAGCTGCCAAGATAATGTATCAAAGTTCCATTACTGTATTTGATTCAATATTTCCTCTTCAAAATTATCCTAAAGTTCTCTTGCATTGAGTTTTATTATAAGATGTATGCATCTTTCGTAACTTGTCGCCGAAACCTAAATTCACGATTACAGTACTCTAAATTAATATACATCAAGTTTCGGAAATATTTTTAGCCAAACACAATATAATTTAGAAAAGGTCATTGTTTTTTAAAACTTCACGCATAGCATTGATTATGTTATGCATTAAATGAAGACTGTTAGTAAAAAATATCAAATGAAAAAACCAAAAGATACTTTTCATAGTACGGTATTATGTCAAAAAATATAACATCTTAAATATTAATTCTAATCTTGAAAGAAAAAATCTTTTGAAAATCATAAAATCATTTGAAGTTTACTATTCTTATTCTTATTGTTATTGTTATTGAATAAATTGAAACATACTGTAAAATAATTTCCAAAATAATATATTTCTTGTTTTTATATACTGTATATAAATTTAATTACAGTAGAACGTTCGATTGCTATTTTTAGTTTCTCGTATCGAAGTTATTTTCGTTACCTTTGATTTTTTGATTTTCATAATAATCACGATATATGTTTTTTTTTATTAAAATCCTATTACGTATTTCAATTTCTTAAAATACGTGTTCTAGTCATTTTAACAATAATTTCAAATACGACATCTATGAATTTAATATTATTATTAAAGATTAAATGACAAACAATATCAGTCTTAAATAATAAAAAAATTATTTTTTCAACTAAATCGTATTTCAAATTCTAAAAAAATATTCAAATATAATTTTTAAAAAAATTCAAATAAACATTAAATATAATGTTTTTGTTAAACAAAAGTTTATAAATATTATATTCACCATTATTATTATTTTGTATAAGTTAATTATAATTTATTTCAATATTAATTAATATTATTAAGTAATATTATAAAAGTATATTAATACGCGTGATATTAAATAATTGATATTTACTTAATACAATTGAATTATTGCTATAATAAAAACATTTTTTAATATTATTATTATTAAAATTTAAAATATTTAAAATATTAAACAAATATATTCCTATTGTTTTTTTATTTTTGTTTTTAAATAATAATAATATGTTGATTTAATTTAATATATGTATATTTTTTATAATTTAATAAATAAAACATCAAAAAAAAAATACCAACAAATATTTTATTATATATATACAGTATATGCAAATAAAAATATTATTTAATTTTAAACTTTTTATATTATATATTGTTATATGTTATTTTTATTTCAAAAGAAAAATTTAAATAAAAAATTGGTAACAAAAATAAGATTAATTAAAAAAACAATAATAATTTGTTAAAATATTTATTCAATAAAATAAAAATCAATTCTTTCAATTTTTAAACAAATTAATAACTTTATATATACTTTTTTTTTGTTAAATGTTAAGCGAAGCATTTCTCGTGATCTTTATTAATAGAGTAATTGCAATATTACATAATTAATATTAAGATACTAAGATACATCATTATGTATGTCAGCCTACCACCGTTCTAAGTATATTTCTGATAAAAAAACCTTGAGGCAAGGAAAAGAAAAAGTAACTACTTAGTTTTGGAGGGCTAATGCCTCCCTAATAATTTATTTT